CCCCCCTCTAAAATCAATTCTCTCCTGGAGAACGTCTTCGTGAGCCTCTCATGATTTCAGGATAAACCCTCCTGAACATTTAGAAAGAGTGAATATGAAATTCTAATCACGAAAGGTGTTCCCCGAGGGGATACATACCTAGAGTTTGTTCTGTGAAGCACGTCAATTCTCTCCTGGGGAGCGTCTTCGTGAGCCTCTTATGGTTTCAGGATAGTTCAAATCCTATGATGTTCCGATTCAATGCTCACCGATGATCTGAGCCATGGGGCAAGTTTGTTTTCCTAAGAACCTTTTTGAACATTTCGAGAGCATATGTTTGAACATTTAGAGTGCATATGAACATATATTTACGAAAGGTCGCCTCCGAGGGGATAAATCACCATGTCGAACATTGCATTTTTGTTCCTGCCTCTCGCGTTCTCTTCTCTTCCCGCTGTCCTACCTTTCGTGTCTCCCTCCTCTCAAGTTTTCTATGGTGAACCCATCATGGGCATTATATAGGTCTGCTGTTTTTTTTGCATTCTTTACTGCTCAATGTTCAGAATCCACCTTCCCCATTTTATAGTTTGGATGCTTTTTACTCAGTTAGGCATTGTATAGAAAATCCACCCTCCCTAGACATTTTATAGGGCCCAAAGTGTATAAGATGCCCCCTAAAAGCATCCAACCTAACAATGAAGGGGGATAAGACACCTTAAAAGTTTAAAAACTCATTATGTCATTGAAACTAGCCCCCCCCGATGCCGGGTACCCCTTGAAAGGCTACAAGGACAAGCAGTAGTTCCCAAATAGACTTGTCAGGCCTCATGAGACAATCCTTGGTTGAAGGGCCCCCTATGGTCACACCCGGTGACCCGTGTATGTTTTCATTTTTTCATTTTTTTCCGTGTAGGATCGTGTAGGCTTCAGGTGCCAGATAGGTGCTGGATGGTTTCTATGGAGCTTGACCAGTTGAGCAAAGCGCACGTTCCATACCTTTTGAGTGAGCTGCTGTTTGGAAGGGAGTTGGCAACGCCACAGAGAAAGTGAGAGGAAGCCGCGCAACAAAAACCTCGACCTGGCCGTTTTGTGATGTTTTTTGTTTGACGCATTCTATGTTCACAGTGGTGCTGCATTTTGATTCCAGAACCTTCTGAGACGTGGTATTCTGTTTTGTGCTTCCAGCTTCCAACAGGAAAAAGTGCGAGAGTCCTCCTCAGGCCCGGCGGTCCTCCTCAGTGTCCTCTACCACGCGCTCACGCAAGGACGGCTGACGTGTCAGGGTTTCTATCGACTCATCCGTCGATCGTAGCCGGATCGGAGCGTCCCCCAATGTCTCCCACGGCTTCTCAGATCAGGAGACTGAAACGATGTTGAACTTGGTCCACAGCAAGGGGTGAGAGAACCGCACTATGATGGCCCACCTTTTCAACGGGTTTAACAAGTGCCGTATATAGATAGAGAGAGAGTGAGAAGTAAGAGAGAGAGAGATAGCCTTTCTGAAACCTTGGATTTTTTTCCTCATCCATGTTCTTTCTTCGGGAGAATGTGCTGGGTTATTCTACAGAAGAACGGTGTCTTGCAAACTTGAAAGAAACGACCAAATGTGCAAGAATTCGCCGCCAGATGAGCCGCCAGCTTTCAACCGGCTTCGCGCGTGGCTTTGGCAACACTGCGGAAGTGGCGGCAGTGGAGAACGGAAAGAAGCTCAGCGGCATTGGTTGACACAAGTTGCGCAACCAGCCTCCTGCAAACCATTCAATTACTTCATTAATGTTTTAGATGTTTTAGGATTTCTTGAGGTGCCTGGGGGCAATTGCAGGGACAGGCATCCATTGGTAATTAGAGAGTTCAATCGATAGTGTGATAACGCGTATGTATGCGTACATAGATATTAAAACACATACAAAAAATATATATATATATTATCTATAAATTAATTCGTAGGGCGGTCAGACATGTACCCTATTCGGGTAACTTCACTTACCCCCCTCAGACGCTTGGATATTCATTTGCCAACCTCTCGGTTGCAGGTTGCCGTTGGACCTGTGCCCAAGTCCGGTCCTGCTGCAGCCTGAGTTCTGAGACACCTGCAATGACAATCAGATGAGGGTCTTTTGCTTCAGTCCACGCTCACCTGTCCAGAGCCGCCGGCCCCTCTTTTATGGAAACAACTGCCCCAGGACGCGGGCGCAAGCCGATCTTTTGTACATACAAGTCATGAAGCAACAAGAGGCGGCACCGGATCATTGGCCAGTCCGATTCTGGGATGTTCGGATGGTCGACGTGTTTTTTTAACGGTGAAGGGACAGAGCAGGTGCTGGCGGACGGATCGGTCGAAGAGGTGTGGCAACGCCTTTCTGACCCGAAAGAGGACAAGAACTGGATAGAACTATATGAATTAGGGAGGTTCAACGGGTATCTGGAGAGTAATTAAGAAGATCTAGGATACATCTTGTTAGTGGATGGGCCTATAACCGCTTGGAGCTGTTGGATTGCTTTCTTTTCCCGGTGGCAATTGACTGGGAATTTGTCAGGAATCTGTTAGGTCTCGGAGTTGGGTCCAACATCGATATCCCTCGGCGTCTGGTGTTGAGAAAGGACACTTGTGTAGCGATGGTCCTTTCTCAAGGCTGGCCCCACTGGCTGCAAGAAGTGGACACAGTCGGATGTTTTGCATCGCTATGAATGGCGAACCATTCCCACAAAAACGAACCATTGGTGTGGCAGATGTAAGTGTTCCATCGAACGCTCATGTGTGTTGACAGTTCTCGGACTCGTCAGGTGCACATGACACAGGAGAGCTTCATGAGGCCATTCTCCCTGGGCTCCGGAGCAGTGAAGCGAAGGGGGTGGGGGGGTTTGACATTAGGCAAGTTCCATGGAGACGAGGAGTCTTTGGAGGTGCCAGTGGGGTGGAGGCACTCTTTGGATTGGTTCGGTTTTCATATTTTTCAAGGGTTGACTCAGACAACCACTCCTCCACACAAAACATCACACTGAGAGGCGCAGCAGGGAGCATATTCAACCCGACCCCGCCCGCCCTCACCCGCCTGCCAATCCATGCAGCAGCCAGGGCCTTGGCGATTGTTGGGCAGCAGTGCCTAGCAGGCCAGAATGGTTATTTGTGTTTTTACGCATTGGATAGGTTCGATCTGATTTGCAGTTGTTTTGCTTAATTTCTCGCCTTCGGAAGTGCAAAAAAAAACCGTCTTTAATCCAGCTACGACCCAACCCCCAAATCGTTTGTTTGAGTCATGCCACATCAGGGATGATTTGCATGCTTCGCCGTGCAACAAAACAAAGTCTTGAGACGGCACAAAGGAGAGCGTAGCACAGCATAGCCACCAAGGAGAGCGGACTGTTGTTTGTTATTAATAAGGAACTAGGCCTCTAGCATATATAGGCACTTGCGGTTTGATCTACCGCAGCTGGATGTAGCAGAGCCATACAATAAGATTAATTGCCATTGCAATTTCTATTTGTGTCTTTTTCACATGGGGCTTCATTGACCTACCTGGCAATGATGTTTTTTGGGACAATAAGAGTTCTGGCAAGGTATAGCAAGACCAATCCATTGTAACTTGGGTCGGCTTGATATCCACTTGCATGGGTTTCCTCCTTCTCCCCAATCTGGAACACAAAACATGGCGATTCGCTGAGCTGCCCTGGATCCGTGAGGCATGGATCCTGCAGAAGCGCCTGAACTCCATGATAGCCAGGCCAGTCTTCTCAACTGGCTGGGGCCCAAGGGACAGATCCATTGGAAGATGCCGTACAGAGTGGCTGAGATCCGAAGTGGCCGTTCATGAGGCAGTTCCGGGGGATTTCATCATTTCTTGACAAGTTTTTAACATTCCTTGAGACAGTTAAGAGGAAACAAATACATCTTGAAGCTTTACACATTGATGTTGACCTTGTGGTGACCCTACATGAGAGCCCGGCTGTGACTAAGGTTTTGCGAGTGGGCTTTGGTGCCCCTTGCAGACGCCCTGGGGATCAGTCAGCATGATGTGCTGCCTGGAGCCACAGGAACCAGTGAAGTTGGTCGACCTTGGCATTGGACATGGAAGTCATGTGATGTAAAAGATTCCCCCCTCATGACAGTAGGAGATGCTTCTTCCAGGGTGCATACAGTTCGTGTTCTTTTGCCTCCCGGTCGTCATCCCCGGTTTCGAGCACTTGTCACCCCGACTCACACTCGGCACGTTTGTGTTTTGTTCTTCACTTGGTCACATGGCCTCCTCCCGGATTGGATGCAGTATGAAGATGCCGATATATGAGTTGAACATAGTTGAACCTATTCGACCTATTCACGCAGCTGATGTGTAGGTCCAAAAAGGATCAAAAAGGTGCAGTGGAATAGCATTTGAACATATTTGAACTACAGACGCCGGAGATAAGTCTCAAGGCAAAAGGTTGGGTGTGAAGTATTTAATCACCATCAAGTTAGAGGCTTTGACCAAACCAAACAACAGTTGATCGATCCAACTAGAGGCCAGTAAGACCTTGTTTCTTTTTCAGCCTTGGGACTTTCTTGGTGACCCTTTGCCGGAGCAATTTATGGAGGGTATATAATAAAAATCATTTACATGTTTATGAGGCTCTTGGATATGTTGGTATATGGTGCGGTCGAAGTGGACAGTGATAGATGACGAGACTCCTATAGCCTATAGCTCCGAAAAGCAGCTACGTACTTCTTCAACTCTATGAGACAGATCGACCTGTACATGGTTTTCATGGCTTTTTTTGGCCAAACGCTCATATAGGGTCATTTGCTGATTGGTGGGGTATCATGCACCGAATTCTCGTTGGTGGAGGCATTTCCCATTTGTTTGTCATGAATTCCATGGCCGGTTGAAGCAGCTGAAATAGTGTCCGGTTGCCAGAATTCGTGCTTCGCTAGTTTCCAGTCGCAGCTGAGGTGTGCGGCTGAGATTTTACGTGACCCGGCCGTCTCGGTATGGCAGCCCAGCAGCCTGAAGGACCCGCATGAATTCACCTGCTTTGCTGAGAAGATAGTTTAACATTGTTTAACCTCAACACCTTCGCAGTTTGGGTGATTTGTGGAAGATTGTTTCACACTTAGGTGGATATCCCATAACACAGCCGTGTTTGAGATTTGGCCATCTTCATTCATCCGACCATCGACCTGTCTCTTGAGGCACTGCTTCGAAGCTGCCAGCGGGGGTTGGATATCGTGTTCGCCCGCCGTGCTCCCCAGACCTTCGGGTCGGGTCGGCACCACACCCGTCGAAGGCAACGGGTCGTGTGGGCGGGCCACTCGGGATCAGAGAACAGCCACAGTTTTATTTCCACTCGCTTGGTTCCCAAGTGTTCTAATCCCAAGTGTTGCTAGAAGCTGATTTACTCTTCTTTTTTTTCCAAAGTGTTCTTGGATCTTCGAGGATGTTGCACCAGTGGCAACCCATGGAAAGTGAACCAGGACGCGCGAAGCGTGGCTGGGCCCAGCTGAGCCATGGCAGTTCAGGATTCGGCTTTGGACCTGCAAAGCGATGGCGACAAGCAAACCTGCAGGTTCATGGCACCGACCGGACCCTTCACCCATCAGTGTGCACACTCTCTCGCACCAGGAGAAAACCGAGTGGAAGGAAGCCTCCTGCGGTGGAACATCGGTGTTTTTCAGAGAGAGAGGCCGAAAGAGAGCACGTCTAGGTGCCTTGGAGAGTAGTATGTTCCACTCCTCCTCAGTTCTTTTAAAGCTTTAGTTTGATGTATATTGAGGGAGGGCATTCCATTGCTCCGCTTCATCGACCGTCCTAGATACTCTGCACTGAGGCTACGCCGCCGCGAGCCCGGCACCGCGAGAGCCGTACAGGAGACCCGGTGCGCGTTCGTTCGGGACTTCCGGGACTCCGGAGCCCTTTGGGGACAATGAGAAGACACGAGAAGACTAAGATCCAGTGGAAACAGCGGGCTCTCAAGAGTTCAGGGTGTTTTGGGGGGTTCCCCTTATTCTGATGCAGGCCAATGTGGTTGCACCAATTCCGAAAATGGACCACTGCCCAATAAAGAGGGATCACAGGGGCTTTGGGTCCATGACTTTGATGCTTTGGCAGGACAAGTGAAAAACGTGCTCGAAGGAATTAATGGGAACCCTTGACCGAGAAACACCTGTGTGGAACGAATTAATATGATGTGGAGAAGAAAAGAAGCAGAAGAAGAAGAAGAGGCATCCTTTGCTTCACAAGATCCAATTAAACGCAGAAGAACCCCTCTAGGAAGCCTCGGGCCTTAGACGAATAGCTGCGAATATGTAATTTTCCAAACCACCTGTGTGGAGGTACCTAATTAACATCCTAAATCATCCTATGTTTTGTGGTTCCTTCAGCATTTTGCTCAACCAGTGCTTCACTCCCTCGCTCGGCTCGTGCCGAAAGACGCTTCGCTACACATGGCGCCCCTCGTGATCCTCGTGCTGCTGATGAGCACCTTCCGTGCCGAGAGTAGCAGCAACTCATTCCAAAGATCGCCATTAACTTTGTTTCTTTTGACGATCCCCCTTCATGGATTTCCACTCATCTACCCAACTCTAATGGTATGCGGCCGCGCTATGCTTTGAAGGGGTCGAATACCGGTTTCCAGCTGGCCGTGGGGGCATCGATCTACGTTTTCACCCGGTCAACGAGGCAAGCGTGGGATTGCCAAGACGAACCTGCACGATCATCAGCTGAGGCAGTTGAAGCAAGGAATCTTGGCTGAACGATCGAGGCACATCAGGGCGCTCCAATACGCATCGCTCTAAAAAGGAGGGCTGCGGAATATGCTGATGACCAACATTGACCAACGATTCAACCAAGGAGATGTACCATATTGCTGTTTTAATCCAATGTGGATTGGGATGTTCATTTGCATTATATAAGATTCCATATAGAAACTTCAAAACTTTGAAGTGCCCTTTCAATATCCTGATTTGACGTCGCCACTCAGGCGTGCCACAGGTCAAGTTCAAAACGGTCACTTTGACAAAACTGGTAGGATGAGCACTGAGTCACTTTGTGTTTTGACTCTTTGTCACCAGTCACATGTGTTTTGGTTGGAAGTTGGTTCGACGCACCGTTGATGTCTATAAGAGTCCGGTCGCTGATGCCAACGGTGCGTCCGCGCCGAGAATAGGGCTGCAGGGTTCGACCATATTGTTTGTCAACAGGATTTTTCGAAGTTATGCGGCTGGCTGTTTTTGTGACGATCCTAGGAGTGACCTGGGGCTACAACTGGAAGTTTTCGCCGAACATGCCCTGGCAGGAAGCAGGCATGGAGTTCGTGCCCATGGTTGCTTAGTGATGGAAGTTAAGTATACTGGATGGCTGGGTGGGGCCGGTGACTTCTGGATGTTTACAATTTTTGTAAATTCTGGATTTTAGATGATGATAGGACAGTTGCAACAAGTTATGTAAATCTAATTGGATATACCCAAGACTGTACTGAAATGAGGATCCTTTTCCCTTATGAAACGCAAATTCCAAGAGATACTTCAGAAACTCAAGGGCCTCTGTCTCTATTTTGGATGATCACTCTTGATAACTACATAAGATAACGAGAATCAGTTTACCCTGATCATTTTACAAATACTGGTATCAGTAACTTGGACCGTGGATGACCGTGTTAGATGGGTGAAGGTGGTAAGCCCACCATCCTTTTTTTAAATAAGAATTGACTTGGCCAGGTTTTGGATCTTGAGATCTTGAAATCAAGTATTTTTTTAAAAAATATAACGTCTACACAATTGGCATCATAGAGACCTTCCCGATCGACGATTCTCATTTCATGAACTTTGTTTTCTGGATGATGTTTCCTATCTTGACTTGTCATGATCTATTCAGGTCATTTTATAAACTATATAGTTGTTTTTCATTGTGTAATCGAACATACCTATCCCTGGCATTCTATAAACACCAATGTTTTATATATATAATGATATAAAATGCAGAAACGACGGGCCTTTGAACAATCAAGAAGGACCCATACATACAATTTTGCATATGCCCACTGACCTTGCATGCCTTGGGGCGCGCATCCCACGTGTTTCGGACGAATCACCGATGTTCTGACCGTCCGGTCTTGAGGTTCATGACGCCTCGATTAACCGGGCTGCAGCTTCTTGGTGAGAGTGGATCCGCGATCAACGGGGTGAAATGGTGACTGAAACCTACTAGCGATGGCCTTCCACCCTAGTAGCGATGGCCTATTCAGTTCGTGGATGATGTTGACTTCCATTTTGTTTGGAGTGGTTCTTCATCGAACATCTACCGCCACACCAAAAGCCTCCTTCCAAATATGCCTGTTAGGAGGTCGACCGGTTTCCGCCCAGCCTGTCGAGCCCAGGTGCCGAGCGGCTCCTTCAGAGGCTTGTTGGGCTTCAACGAGCCAGATATCAGCTCACAGGCCAACATGGATCCTTACCATGCGGCGGCCACTTGGCAGGAATTCGGAAACGCCTCAAGTGACGGGGTGATGGGTGATTTTGGACACTGAGACTTGTGAATTCTGTGGCGTTTGTTCACGAAGTGCTTTCTGGGATAACTACTGGGGTGCCGGGGGCCTCACATTGCCATGGGAGAGCCAATTGGATGATGAGGTATGAAACACCCAGAACCATCTCAAGAGTTGCACACTTTGACCTAATGAAGTCTCGCACTCCTCCCAGACCATGTTTCACGACTTCACACTTTTTCAGCATCAGATGGGGGTGCGTGGCCGGCTCTCATTCGGCTCTCAGGGGATGTGGACAAATGTGGAGCAGCTGGCATCCCAGCTCGGAGTACAACAGCTCGTGAGTCCAGCGATGTGTGGAGACATCGGCAAGGGCACGCAATGGATGGGATCTTTCTTGAACGCAACTGGGCGAAATGTGTTCTTCGATAGAAGTGCATACTGCGACGTCAGATATGATCTCCAGCTGGAGAGAAGCAATATGCATCAGGCCAAGCCCGAGAGTCAGGTCTCTTAAGGGCAACTTCCTGTGCTTCACTGAAGCAAAGACTAGACTTCACTACGCTCAGTTAGATGTTTCATTCATGAAGTGATCAGATCACCACCATGGCCCCACAGTGGTCTACATGTGGCCATGCTGATGGACCCCTGTGACTAGAGAGGGGCAGAATAGTGAATTTTGTGGATGATATGGTTTAGGAAATACAGGTGTTTGACTTGCAAATGCACACACACCCACACACATGCTACATAACATTTATATGCATGAGGCGTTCCTTTGTGAGTGTGCTTCCAAACCTGAGAGCCCGTTACTAACATCCTCACATCCACCGGCGTCGGGACCCATGAGACAACACGGTTGGGACCCGCCGAGGCGTGCCACAACTGCCGCATCGATGCCATTGCCATTCACAGCTACTGGTGCACGCTGGATGGGGTGAAGAATCTGGTGGACAGCTACCGCCGATTCGGCAAGAAGACTCTGGGCTGTGGGATGGCGTGGGAAGCATAGGCACAGAACTTTGGGACGTACTGTTTGGGTGGGTGACCATGCTGAGGACAATTATGTGTGCCTATTAATATTGCAATGAGTTCTGCCTCTGCGTGAGTAGAGCTACGAGTATATGTCCCCCTCTACTCTTCGAAGCTTTGGCTGAAAGGCAACTGTGTTACCCCCCTGCCACCCCAATGTGGGTGGCAGGGGGAGTCGATCGCGAACGATGGTATGGCCACCGGTTTAAGCCCGGCCAGGTGGTCGAATGTGCCATAAGAGATGGCGAAGGGCACGCGCAGGGCACCATCATCCTTGAGATCGTGGCTGCCCTTTCGACGGACGATCAAGGCCACTGGGTCACCGCCAAATACCTTGGCGCGAGCGACACCCATATGCGATGGTGGATGTCCGAGGGCGAAGGAAAGAAGCTGGCGGCTAAGTGTGCATACCACTTCTGCGAGGAGTCGTCCCATGACTGCAAGGTCACCCGTCGTGGAGCTTCCATCCATGTGGAAAAGTTCCGTGTGCTCACCCAAAAGGAGATCAACAACCGAGTCCCAGCCTGGGCCTTCGAGAAGACAGGGTCGAAGACCTTCATGGAGTTCCTGAAAAAGAAGGGCATGGAACCAAAGGAGAAGGACCCAAAGGCAGCGTTACCCTGGGTTGACCCAGGTGAGGAGGATTCTGAAGAAGAAGAAGAGGGATTCTCTGGTGAAGCTCCGGTCAAAGAGGGTCTCAAGGCCAAACTGGTGAAAGCCCGCGATGAAGTCAAGAGACTGGAGCGCGAGTTGTCCGGCAAGAAGGAGGTCACCAAGGGGACCAGCTCAAAAGAAAAGAAGGAGAAGGCGAAGAGAAAGAAGAAACTGGATCCCGAGGTCAAGGCCAAGAAGAAGCGGCCTAAGGAGAAAGGTTCACCCTCATCAGGAGGTGGAAGAAAGAAGCGTAAGGAGGCAGAGGCTGATGCTGAGAAGGCCAAGGAGGCACGCGTGGCTAAGAAGAAGAAGAAGGCAGTTGAGGAATCTTCCTCTTACAGTGGTGATGAAGAAGAAGGCCTCTTTGGTGAAGGAGTGGAAGAGAAGGGCACCGCTGTGAGCAAGAAAGGCCGGCGAGACCGTGGACCCTTTGGCGGGGGTGACATCGTCAGGTACCACGGTGAATCTTCCAGCGAGTCAGAGGCAGTTTTTCGCGATGCCCCCGCAGTCCCAAAAGCATCAAACCAACTCAAGTTGATGCAGTACGCCAAGAGAACACCGGGCAGACTGGCTTCAAGGTTGCTCTTGAAGATGCAAGTCGAAGGAGCCCAAGGGGCTGTGGGGGCGAACCCAGCCGACCGAGGAGAGCTGACCCCGCCATCAGCAGTGCACTACTTCCACACCATGATCGTGCCGCGG